TTTTCGAAAAAAAAAATTGAAAATAAAGCCTTTTTCGACAGATCCTGTATTCCTCAAAAAAAGAGGTTTACAGAATCCGTCGAAAAAGGGTTTATTTTCAAAAGATCCACATCTAGACGCTGGGGTTTTTTTTGAAAAAGCTCTGTTTAGAACAAAGAGGTGGCCATGTTTATGCTAATGAAGTGCCAGATATTTAAATCCCCGCTTCATTAGCAATTTCAATGTGCCTAATCTACATCTCTCTGTCGACAGAAAGGTGTAGTCTAGACGTACCCAATATGACCAATGACGGAATAGGGGTTGATGGATTTTTTTGCAATGGTATTGGCATTCTGTTCACAAGCTTTGAGAGTAGTCATTGAAAATGACTAGTGAGTTGAATACACACAGTTGATGTTGAATACATGTATTAAAGCAAACTTGGCAGCCCAGTTCACCTCAGAGGGATCTGAATAGAAGGATGTTGATGCTGATGTAAGAGACTTGGATGTATAAGCTTGTTCATTTGTTTTGCTGCCCTACCGCCACTCAGACCATTATCCCTGTGGGTACGTCTACACTACGGAGAAGATCGAAGCTGCTGCTTTCGATCTTCCAGGGTCCAAATTAGCGGGTCTAGTTAAGACAGCTAATTCAGTGGCAAAGTGAGGAGGTACAGGGGGAGGGGCAGTTGCCCCCGGGCACCACGCTAAGGGGGCCACAATTTAGTCCCCTTCTGTTCCCCCGTCATCCCTCGGCTTGCCTGCTCCTCCTCCTCCTGCTGCCATTGGCCGAAGCCTCTTCCCCACCTCTCCACCCACAGCCCAACCCTCTTTCATCTCCGCCAGCGGGTTAGTGCGTGCAGGTGCCCGGCCCAAACTCAAGGAGGTGAGGGAAGACGCGGTACAAACTCCCCCCTCCTCCTCTCATGGTTGGGCTCAGCCATGTGCCAGGTTCGGGGGCCTGCCACATGGTGGTGGGGGAAGAGGCACAAATTTTGCCTTTGCCCCCGGGCACATAACACCCTTGCTATTCCTCTGAGCTAATTCGAACTGAAAGGGGCATTCCAGTCAGTGCTGGTGGTCTTACTTCCACGAAGAGTAAGGGAAGTCGAAGGAAGAGTGTTCTTTCTTTGACTTCCTGCCCTGAGGTTAGCTCCAGAAGTCAACTTAAAGAACTTCAACTTCAGCTACGCAGTTAACGTAGCGCAAGTTGCATATTTTAATTCGATCTTAGCCTGTAGTATAGACATATCCTGTAATATTCACAGTGAAGTCTTTCATTTTCCATTTTATCACTCCAAAGTGACATTTCAGTTTATTTTAAGAGCAAACGCATGTGAAATAAAAATTATTTCATGAGGCTTTTGAAAAAAAGCATAAAATACAAGTTCCTCATACATTGTGGTGACAAGAGTCCATTCATTATTCCTGCTCTGTTCTCTGTCCCTT